TGTATTTGCTTTTATCTGATTTTAAAACATATCCTAACCTATGTGCCTTTTATTTTAACCGCTTTTACTTTATGTCTTTTTAATAAGAATTGCAACGTCGTGAAAATGTATCTCGAACCAGGTTACGCCAGTGCACCCGTGGCTTTTGACGCATTTCGACTCCGTTGAGATTTAGATTTGGGTCACATAAATGTACACCCGAGTTTAGGGAGGTAATATTATTAAATGTCGGACCTGAAGCAACTAGCGTATTATTAACTTTGTGGGAGGCCATGAAATTCGCTAAATGGCTTTTCCCGAGGTCTAAATATTTTAAATATGATTAAAAGGGCCACGCAATTTGTGATTTTATTTGGCGCGGCGCACCTCGAATATTTTAAAGGATATCCTAAAAGGACTATAATTCTTCTATTAATGACTATATCTATAACGCAATTTAATTTCATTAATACTTGCCTGAACGGTCCAAAACCCGTACCAGAACCTATGGTAGACTGGGTGTTCGTCACGTTGGGCCTCAATCTTAGAATCAACCCAGATCCTAAGAGGCCAACTAAACATTCAGGGCTAACGCCGACCCAAAGGAGGGGCTAATTACAACTGGGCGGGGTTGCACATCAGTAGAAACTGGTGCCCACATTACTCAGAAATAGGCTGTTAAGCCTTGATCCGTTAATAGACCCCAATCAAAACTGGAATAATAATACGCTTTTACTATCCAATAGACCCCAATCAAGTTGTTCAAATTGTATCCAATACTTGCTGCAAATAATATTAGAAATAGAGTTGGGATGACTAAACTAAGGTGATTACAAATAATATGGGGATATCAAACTCAAGATATTCAAGTCCTTATTCCATTCCAACTTCAACCTATCAGGCTGGTATGATACATTATTCTACTAACACTTGTTCATGCAAACAACTGCAATATGCAGTCCTATTGATACGAACTAAAAAAAAATTGAAACAGTCCAATCATATCAGCCTAACACCGCCCAGTTCTGATTACAGAAATTAAACATTGGATGCTAACATGTGAATTGACATAATCAGAATTCAAATCCATTGCACAGTCCAGATATTCAGTCCAATTATACAGTCCTTAGTTTGATTACATACAAAAATAGAGTTCTAATCAATTACAAGTTAAAAACAAAGGAATTCAACAAGTGAGGCCTGATCAGTACTTCATTTCATTTCAAAAGCCTGGAAATACAAGATGTGTACCTGAAGGTCAAAAACAAATGGGAGAAATGGTCAGCACAGCAACAACAGAAACCAGAATTTACTAAGCAACCACAAGCTCGAATTCAACCAGAAACTAAACTCCAACCCAAGTAGATAGTTT